AATTTGGGCTCCGACACAGTGCCGTAAGATGGCATTCTGGCCCTCCAGACAGTCCCCAGAGAGTGGCCAGGAGAGTGGCTCCTGCTCTTTTCTCCTGTTCCAGTCTCCACTTCCCAGGCTTCTCACCCCGGTGGTCCCTTTTCCCCACCAATCACAGTCTCCCCTATTATCTAACTTCTCATCCAGTCCCAGTTTCCTTGCCAGCCAGCACCAGTTCCCTATCCGTCTGCCCCAAATACCTCTCACTGCTAGTCGCAGTCTCCCTCACTGCTCCTCATCTGACACTCTTTTCTCCTGTTCCAGTCTCCACTTCCCAGGCTTCTCACCCCGGTGGTCCCTTTTCCCCACCAATCACAGTCTCCCCTATTATCTAACTTCTCATCCAGTCCCAGTTTCCTTGCCAGCCAGCACCAGTTCCCTATCCGTCTGCCCCAAATACCTCTCACTGCTAGTCGCAGTCTCCCTCACTGCTCCTCATCTGACAGGTCTCTCTTGCCCTCTCATGAGGTCCCAGTCCAATTCTCCCTCCTCAGGCTCTTTAGCCAGTCTCAGTCTCTTCCCACTCCCTCTCTAGCTTCTCGCTCCAGGCTCTCCCATCCACAGCTCCTTGTCCAGCCAGGGCCAGTCTACCAGTCCTCCAGCTCCTCTTCTGCTCTCAGTCAGGCCCACGGACAGGTGGGGGTGGAGGAGGTAGCTGCCCTGGCACCTGGCGTTTCAAAGGGGCCCAGCGCTCCTGGCTGCTGCCCCAGCTACTATGGCAGTGGTAGCAGCCAGAGCCCTGTGTCCCTTTGAATTGCTGTGGAAATATCCACTCTGCATGGCTCTGAGGGTTGGTGGGAGGGCCCAGCACCAAGCTCCAGGTGGTGCTATGACGGCCCTGGGCCCTGCCCCTTCCAGCTGAAGCTCTCCCTTCTGGGGTGTGGAGCCAGGGCCTCCCCAGCTTGCCCCTGGGCCCGTGGTGGCTGTCGGCCCCACTGCTATCTGTAATCCCCCACAGCCAACGGCAAGCAGTCCTCTCTCACTTTCCTCCCACTCCCATTGCCAGTCCTCTCCCCCAGTCCCGTCCCCGACTCCTTGTCCCAATCGACTCCTTTCCCTTCCTCTCCGGACTCCGCCAGCTTTCGTCTCTGCTGCCCAGCCCTGTCCCAGCCCTCAGTAGCCATAAGAAGAGTCTGCCTTTGCCCCGGGTAGTCCTGAGGGACCATGCCCAGTTGCTCTGTAGGGATGGCACAGCCTTGTCAACACGAGGCTTGAGTATGCTCGAGAGAGACAATCTCCCGAGATGTAACTGCTCAAGACTCTCTAAAGAGCCTGTGCCATCTGCAGTTTTTCAAAGCCTTATAACTGGGCCATACTTGGGCAGATTTTCATGGGGACACAAAAGGCATGTCCCTGCCAAAAAAGCCTCCCCTCCTCGCCAAATCTCTGTTTCAACACATGGGGACGATGGAACTATTCAAAAAAAGCTCATCTTTTTTAAATGCATGGGCAAAACTTCTTTTTAACAAGCTCCTCCCTCGGAGAAGGCTGCATTCTTCCCAAAACATCTAGCCTAAGGTAGACACCCATCATGTAAAACTTCAGCCTGAATGGTTAAAGTTTGACAAAGATATAAGCAACTGAAAGCAGGGACTTATAATGGAAAGTGTCATTCGACCTTAATAATAAGCAGTGCTCCTAGCTTTTCCTATAATTTAATACACTCCCCTCCATCCCCACCACACACACACACACACACACACACACAGACCTTATCTGGAACTAACAAGCAGAGCATCCACATTACCAAGCCCATTATTTCAAAATAACAGGCTGATTATTTCAAAACAATTACTCCTGCTTTCAAAGAGGAATAACGCTTACTTCAAAATAGTTATTTCAAAATAGAGTTAGTGTGGACGCTCTACTGCTGCTATTTTGAAATCACTACTCCCCAAAGTCATTCAACGTAATTACTCCCCAGTGCTTCCTGGGCTTTTACATCGAGGTAACGTGTCCACATGAAGGGAGCCTGCCTTATTTCGAGGCTTCCCCGTTATGTGGAAATTCTATTTCGAAATAGTTATTTTAGGAGTTATTTCAAAATAATTTCCTAGTGTAGACATGCCCATACAGATTGGCTCATTGACTCCTTTGAGCACTGTGAAGTCATAACATAATGTACGTTAAAAGTTTTCTCAGAGACAGGGCTAGGGCATCAGTGAGAATTGGAAGCACCAGATAAAGAAACCCCTAAGTACTGTAATTACATCAAATGCTGTAAGCAGATCCATGAGCAGGGTCAGTCTCAACCTGCCCCAAGGACCCAGGTTCCTAATACACAAAGCATGTACCACGCAGTGGAACGGAGGTTATAGAATGTTGTAAAACTTACGTGTTGTCCCTTGTCATCAGTTTGTAGTGAAGGAAACTGCAGCCCAGAATGAGGAGGAGGGAGATTATCAAGAAAATACTCATTGCAGCAATTACTAGGTCTTGCTTAAGCTTCTGACTCTCCTGGGACTCTTTGCCTATAACATGTTTATAAAAGCGTTAGCTAAAACAACATAAATGTATAGTTGTATGTAGTTGCATGCCATGCTGTGGCCTACCTGACTGTATGGGAACAAATCCAGTGCCATGGACTTCAATAGCTGCGCCAGAATTACTCATAGACTCATAGAACACTTGAACTGGAAGAGACCTCTAGAGGTCATTAAGTCCAGGCCCCTGCCCTCACGGCAGGACCAAGCACCATCTAACTATACCATCTCCAATAGATGTCTGTCTAACCTGCTCTTAAATATCTCCGGTGTTGGAGATTCCACAACTTCCCTGGGGAATTTACTCCTGTGCTTAATCAACCTGATAGTTAGGAAGTTTTTCCTAATGTCCAATCTCAAGCATTAGGAGCCAAAGAGTCACTTAGGCAACAAATGGCTTCTTGCACCATGACCAAAGAGAATGTTCATAATGAAATGATCACCTGAGTCACTGTCTATAGACCCCTTTCCTCTCTAGACCCTGCCCTCTCAGTTGTGGGTCTCTTCTCTTTCCAACCTCCTCTCCTAATGGGGGAGACACAGAGTTTCACCTCTCTGCCTATCACTTTCCTGGAGGTGGAATGCTCCTTCCTGGTCATGGAAACACATTCTTTTTCCTCCCTCCATCATCTTACCCTATGCGCTGAGGCTGGGAGTATGGAAGAATCTGTAGGGTTCTTTTCCCTTCCACTACCTCACAGCTGCTACATTTCCCACTATATACTGCACTGCTCACCACACTGCCTGCCAATCATAGCGCTTGGTATCTATGGGGCTCTCTCTGTCATCACAGCAGAGCAAATCAAGCACTAATTAGATGCACAAATTCTACACCGCAACCTGCAGAGCATTGGAGAGGCTCCTGCAAAGCCCTGAAGAGGTGCTGGATGAGGATTGCCCCAAACACTGGATGACTGGCAGATATAACTGTCTGTTTAGAGGGCAAAGCTAATCAGAGCGGTTGGAACCTGGGAATCGGTGTCTGCAGGTCTAGATTTTTACTATGCCCTTTCTTCATTGTATGTTGCAGCTATTCTCTTTTATGGATGCTGAACACTAGAGCTCAGCACAAAATGTATTTTTCTTGATTTTTAGGGGAATTAAAAAATGGAAATATTTTGAGTTGGAAGTGTGGCTCTGATGACTCCTGGGAGTTGTAGTACTGGTGCCGCAGCCTCCACTTCTCCTCTATAGGCCAACCTGAATAGGTGACATCTGCTGTAATACAACCATGGTCTCCCCTTTTGCAGAGAGGAGTCCCTGGCCAGGAGGCATCAGCGATGTCATCTGACTGGGCTGCCCAGTTCACAGAAGAGAATGGAGCCATGAGGCAGGTGAACTACAACTCCCAGAAGACACTGCAGCAGCAATTCCAAATTGAGGCAGGGCTGGCCAGAATCAATCTGGAGTGGGAGTTCTTTTGTTGTTGTTTAGCGGACAAATTTTATGTCAAAAACACTTGAGAGAAATTTTTCAGCCAGCCCTATGAAACCATTTAAACCCATTATTGGTGCCCATCAAGGACACACGGTCTCAGTCTCCCCAAACATCCATAGGCCCCACAAGGAATTGATGAAGCTTTGGGTCTTATAGACATGACAGTTTTTTCTGGTCTAACCTTTACCTTCTGAACTTATTCTGAGTTTTTACAAGACCTGAGGTAAGATTCAGGGTCGCCTCTACATTTAGGAAGCCATGAAATAATCTATGCCAAAGACAGCAGCTAAATGAAGCGCAGGACAGACAGTGCCAGCATGGGCGGTGGGTATACTAGGTGGAGGAAGGACCACCTGGACTCCACCCCCAGAACACCTGCTCGAGGTGTACCGGAGGCGGAGTGTTGCTGATCCTGGGCATCTATCCTCCCCATGCTCTGGGGTGGGGGAGGCTGGGGCCTGACACTGCCCACCCTCCCCATGCTTCAGGGCCCTGTGCCATCCCACCTCCCCATGGTGCTGGAGAAGAGGGGCCAGCTTGGCTCCCGTGGAAAGCAGGGCCTGGGCAGAAGGGGTGGGGCGGGGGATAAGGTGGGGGGTTTGCCTCCCCCAGTCCTACTTTCACCTACCAGCCGTGAGTGACAGATATAAAACACTGAGGCTATGTCTACACTTCCCCCTCTTGCGCAAAAAAAAATGCAAATGAGGAGAAGCTTGGAATATCGCCGCACCTCATTTGCATAATTAACAAGTCTCCATTTTTGCCCAAGAGGCTTTTGCACAAAATCCCCCTCTTGCACAAGAGCCGTTCTTCCTGAAAAAAAGAGGAAGAACAGCTCTTGTGCAAAAGCCTCTTGCGGAAAAACAGAGCCTCATTAATTATGCAAACGAGGTGTGGCAATATTCCAAGCTTCTTCTCATTTGCATTTTTTTTGCGCAAGAGGGGGCAGTGTAGACATAGCCTGAGATAATCACAAATGTATGAGACTCCTCGGAGCCAGGGCCGACTCACAACATTTTGGCACCTGAGGCGGGGAGCTCAAATGACGCCCCCAGGCCTCCTCGCTCGGGCCAAAACTTTGAAAGGTCTCAATTCTCTGGGTCCTAGTGGCGCCTTCCCCCCCAGTCTGGCACCTGAGGCAGCCACCTCAGTTTGCCTCATGGCAAGGCCAGCCCTGCTAGGAGCCCAGAGAGAGGACATGAAAAAAGGAAATAGATACAAGGATGAGAAAGCGAGAGGGAGAATAATAAAAGAGGCCAAAAGAGAATAACATTTATAAATCCAGAGAAGTTTTTGTTCTCTGAGGCTGAGTCAAAGTGAAGGAGACCAGTTGAGAACCATGTATCCCTTGTCCTAAACATTTTAAAGACACAATTTTAAACATCAAGTACATGGAAGTCAAATGGCCTGAATTCTCAGAATCTTAGCATACCAACATGGCTCCAGTGGGAAAAATGTACAACATTAGAACCTTCATAATGCTGTCATCTTAGCTTTCCCCCTGCCTGAGTTTAGCCCCCTAATTACCAGTTTTCAAACTGACCTGATGGTTTACTTCCTAGAACATTTTGCGCTATCTTTGTTGTATCATTCCTGACAGGCACATCAAATGTTTCATCTTATAAAAAGAGGTTAGTGAATTCTGCTCTAAAGATGATGCTGTATTATCCAGACTTCACTCCGTGGTTATAAGTGTCACTGAGCATTGTACCTTTCAAAGGAGTTTCTCCTCTGTTGGATGTTCCGCAACAAGAAATTAAGATGGAGAGCAGGAGAAAGATGGTGGAATAAACAGCCATACTTGTTTATCCATGTACTGTGCCCATGCTGATTGTGTACGGCCGCCACCTCTGTGTCACGGTTAGACTCTTATGACATCCATAGCATTCTTTCAGACATTCTGACAGCATAATCTCCTCAGGCAGGCACTCCTTGATATGTGTAAGAGCAAATAATTGGCAATATTAATAAATTAAACATCTCAGAAGCAAAATAAATAAATAAATAAGAACTGCAACACTAGCTTTAACATAAGTATATGGACGTATGTGTGTGTTTGCTGGTTTTCATTTACTTTCTTCTGTCTATAAAAATTCTGTAGTTAGATTCTTTTTACATGTATGTTAATACAGCAGGATAATCATCTGTTTGGGTATGTCTACACTACCACCCTAGTTCGAACTAGGGTGGTTAATGTAGTCATACGAACTTGCAAATGAAGCCCGGGATTTGAATTTCCCGGGCTTCATTTGCATGTTGCCGGGCGCCGCCATTTCAAACTAGGGTGGTAGTATAGACATACCCTTTCTGAGTATTGCTAATTAGTATTCCAACAGCACTTCCTAACTGTCAGAGTGGTTAAACACTGGAATAAATTGCCTAGGAAGGCTGTGGAATCAGCATCACTGGAGATGTTTCAGAGCAGGTTCTATTGACATCTATCAGGAATGATGTAGAAGGTGCTTGGTCCTGTCACGTGAGCAGGGGACTGTACTTCATGACCTCTTGAAGTTCCTTCCTGTTCTGGTATTCTATGATTCTATGACAGTTCCTGTTCTTTCCATGTCACAACCTAACCAGCCAACACAGATAGAAGATAGCAGGACGGAGGTATTTGCCTTTTTTTTAGGTGAGCCAGCTCCTCCTGCATCCTTAACTTTACCCTTGTGAAATGCCTGTTGCATTCAAGGGAAGCCCTATCACTGTATGAACCATTGGCAAAAGCAGGAGGGAGTATTCACATCAGTGAGGCTGCGAAGAAAAAATGATTGATCAGTACTTGTGATAGTCAGAACTCTCCTTATTCCCCTTTCCACAAGACGAGGGCTCTTGGAGGGGTGGGCTGGTGGGAGGTGGGTAGGAACAAATTGTGTTGAGGGGGAGAGGAGGCAAGGGCTCCTAGATAGTTGAGCTGTTTTGTGGGACAGAGGGCTGGTGGGCCTGGCATGGGAGAAGGATGTCAAGGGCTGCCAAGGTGGTTAGAATGGTGATGATGGGGGACTTAGGGGTTCCTGGACAGTTGGGCTTCCGGGCAGAGGAAGGCAGGAGCTCCAGTACGGTTTAAAACCTTATCTTTTAAACAAAGAAACAAAATCGCTGAAACAATCTCTTGCACATTACACTTATTTTTGTTGCATGGGATGGGCTTCAACCACGCACTGGATTTTGCTATAAAAAGCATGAGCTGTCATGAGCAGGATCTGTCAGACTGTCATTTTTCTGGTGCAACTGTGATAGTGAGAGTTGCAAAGAAGCACTGACACAAATTCTGAGGGGCAGCGTCAAATACTGGGGGGAATTCTGCAGTTTTACTCTTGGCTCCAAATGCAACAATAGCAGAATTCCTCTGGGACTTGTGTGTGTGTGTGTGTGTGTGTGTGTGTGTGTGTGTACACACGTGTGGGCATGTGCACATGTGCGTGAATAACCGAGTGAAAGTGGGAAATGTGGCGGAAATCCACGCATTGGCCACCCATAGCAGTGGTCTCTGAAAGGCGCATTCACAGTCTCTTCCAGGCATTAACAGATGCTAAAAGATAAAACAAACAGCAGATGAAACCCCAAATTAAGAGCTAGATGGGGACAGTGCAATCTGCTGTGAGTCAAGGCCGCATCTAGCTGTGTAGACCCTGGAGCAGAGCAGGGTGTGAATAGTGACTTGGAAAGTCAGAGTTCAGTCCTGGCTACTCCCCTAGCACTAATGCTCATGAGCAATTTTGGGTGGCCTCCGAGTGCAACCACTAACCATGGCTGGTGGACATACTGTTCTCTCTGTTAACACTATTCCCCACGTCTAATCTACATTCCTCTTCCGAAAAAGGAATGTAAATGAGCCCGATCGAAAATGCAAATGAAGTGCGGGTTTACAAATCTTGCACTTCATTTGCATAATTGAAGAAAAAATGAGGAGTACGGGTTCTTTCGAAAAAGGCGGGTTTTTTTTCCCTGAAAGGTTTTTTTCGAAAAGCCCTTTCCAAAAAGTGCTCTCATGCGATTAGGCAAATGAAGTGCAAGATCTGTAAATCACAGAATCATAGAATACTAGAACTGGAAGGGATCTTGAGAGGTCATTGAGTCCAGTCCCCTGCCCTCATGGCAGGACCAAACACCATCTCTGACAGGTGTCTGTCTAACCCGCTCTTAAATATCTCCAGTGATGGAAATTCCACAACATCCCTAGGAAATTTATTCCAGTGTTTAACCATCCTGACAGCTAGGAAGTTTTTCTTAATGACCAACCTAAACCTCCCTTGCTGCAGTTTAAGCCCATTGCTTCTGTCTTATCACCAGAGGCTAAGGATAACAATTTTTCCCCCTCCTCCCTGTGACACCCTTTTAGATACCTAAAAGCCACTATCATGTCCCCTCAGTCTTCTCCTTTCCAAACTAAACAAGCCCAGTTCTTTCAGCCTTCCCTCATAGCTCATGTTCTCTAGACCTTTAATCATTCTTGTTGATCTTCTCTGGACCTTCTTCAATTTCTCTACATCTTTCTTGAAATGTGGTGCCCAGAATTGGACACAATACTCCAATTGAGGCATAATCAGCGCAGAGTAGAGCAGAATGACTTATTGTGTCTTGCTCACAACACTCCTATTAATGCATCACAGAATCATGTTCCCTTTTCTTACAACAGTGTCACACTATTGACTCATTTAGCTTGTGGTCCACTATGACCCCTAGATTCTTTTCTGCAGTACTCCTTCCTAGACAGTCGCTTCCCATTCTGCATGTGTGAAACTGATTATTCTTTCCTAAGTGGAGTACTTTGCATTTGTCCTTATTAAACTTCATCCTATTTATCTCAGACCATTCCTCCAGTTTGTCCAGTTCATTCTGAATTATGACCCTATCCTCCAAAGCATGTGCCACCCTTTCCAGCATGGTATCTAAGGGGATGTCTATACTACCCCCCTAGTTTGAACTAGGGGAGGTAATGTAGTCATACGGAGTTGCAAATGAAGCCCGGGAAATTCAAATCCCGGGCTTCATTTGCAACTCCGTATGACTACATTACCCCCCCTAGTTCGAACTAGGGGGGGTAATGTAGTCATACGGAGTTGCAAATGAAGCCCGGGAAATTCAAATCCCGGGCTTCATTTGCAACTCCGTATGACTACATTACCCCCCCTAGTTCGAACTAGGGGGGGTAATGTAGTCATACGGAGTTGCAAATGAAGCCCGGGAAATTCAAATCCCGGGCTTCATTTGCAACTCCGTATGACTACATTACCCCCCCTAGTTCGAACTAGGGGGGTAGTGTAGACATACCCCAAGTTGTTGATGAAAATATTGAATAGAACCGGGTCCAGAATAGACCCCTGCAGAACCCTACTTGTTATGCCCTTCCAGCATGATTGCAAACTATTAATAACTACTCTCTGAAAATGGAAATAGAAAATCATTTATAGGTTGATAGTATATGTTCTCCTGCTTTGCTTTACCTATCAATGCTGTTCTTTGCCCTACGCATATTGAGGAAGTAATGCCAAACGTAGTGGGGTTACATGAACCAGCTGCCTGCCGAAGACAGTGCTCAAAAGAGCCATCGGAAGATGAAAACACCTGTGCTGCCATAGGAGAACACAGAGGCACAGAGATTCTGTGCCTTGCAGAAAACATTAACTAATGGAACCACCTGTAGATTCAGGAGTTTGGGTTTCATCTTTGGAACTGCGTCAAAGGTGATCGTTCAACCAATGTGGACTGCTGTGCTTTCCATGCCACCGGACCTCATACTGAGCCCACAACAGATTCCTCGCCACGCAGCTGCCACCCTGTAACATTAAACAAAAAGCAAAAACTTATAGCAACTGTTTAAGAGCGCCGATTCCGGGAAATCGGCTTTTGCAGATCCAGACTAACATGGCTACCCCTCGGATCAGGGCTGGCCCAAGCCCTTTTGGCGCCATGGTGCCACCCCCGGGCACAGGGTGCATGCGCGCGCTGGCCACAGCTGCTGGCACGCAGCCCGGGGCCCGCCCCCAGGGCGCATGGCGCATGCCCTGCCCAGCCTGGCCTGGCCAGCGCTGCTGGCATGCGCGCTGGGCCGTGCAGGGCCTGCCCCTGGGGCTGGCACTGCGGGGGCAGAGCTCACGGCGTGCCGTGGAAGCCGGGCACGCTGCTCCTGATGGCATCTGTAAGGGACACCATATGCCCCTTACAGCTGCCATCAGGCGCCCCTCATTGGTTGGCGCCCTGGGCTGCTGCCTGGCTCGCCCATGCTTCCGTCCGACCCTGACTCAGATACTTGATTCCAGGAAAGTATCACATACAGCTAAGAAGGGAGAAAAAGTACATCAGGATAGAAGGCTCCCTATTTCTGCACAAGACAGAGATCTGGGAAGTAGTGTGTGAATCACAGGAGTACAATCCAGACCAATGTTCCCTCTAATCTTTTCCCATCCATGTGTGGATTTTTTCCATCCAGGTGCAGAATAAAGTTTTCTATATGCACTGAGGCATGTGTGTACATGCACCACTAATAGAAACAAAAACCTGGCCATGGGCGCTCTGCTACTGAGCTGGGTAGCATTTGAATCTCTCCAGATTGGCTGCACAAGTGCTCAGCTTACAGGGAACACTGATCCAGACCTACAGTACAGATTTCCTGTAGTGTTGCTTTGATCATGTTTCCACAGGACACGCACAGACAATGTCATCACCATTTAGCCAGACCCCTTCTAAAATCTATCAGTCCCCAATACTTCCCCACACACTTGACTCTCCCCTCTGAATCCCAATAGTTCTGTAAATTCCATCAAAGCCGAGTGCAAGCTTCAATAAAGCTGAACACAGTAGGAAAAATAGTGGACATGGTATATATGTTCCTGTCACTTAGCCACCATTACGCTTTTGAAACAAAGGCCAGATCCTTGGTTAGTATAAATCAGCGTTGGCTCTTTGATTGGCAGAGTTGCAGTCATTTATATCAGCAGAGGATGTAGTCCCAAGTTTCTGTGCTTTGAAATGTATTTGAATTCCTTTCCTCTGTCACTTATTTTGGACCGTTACTCGGCATGTCATAATTATGTATATTGAATATACTCCTCTCCATTTATGCCGTCTGTTTCCTTTTAGCATTTCATTCAGCTGAAACAGCAGAGCGGGCCTGCACAGTTTCACAGCCTTGTTTCACCTTCCTTTTCTCATGCTCTATGAAGAGTAGAGAATAGTTACATTCCCCCATCATAATTTCATGTATTTTAATAAAGGACATGAGGACCATTGCCATTTAGTTGTGTAGTTCCCTTTTCCCTAAACCTAGGAGATCAATTCTTCAGTCAAAAGACTTCGTGGCACAATATTTCCAGCCTAACCGAAATGGACAGCATTTAATTTGGGTATGGTAATCCTGTGGGTTAAGATGCCTCAAAAAAAGGCTGAGCGCCTCCCCATCCTGCAGGCATTTGAGGCAGGGACTATGTCCGGAGTTTTACTTGGAGGACTGAGCATTTGTTATATGAAAGAACACCTCTTGGAGCTGATTTTTTTACTATCACACAGGTCTACAGAACAATGTGAACTGAATGACTTTCACCCAAATTGATGTGGACTGTGAAATAAGTTTACTTCACTCACAGCCAACGTTTCCAATAATTTTTCCATCCAGGTGCACCAAGGCATGTGTGAATGTACACCACCTGTAGAAAAAGAAACCTAGTTGTGGGCACTGTGCTAATCAGCTGAGTGGCACTGGAATCTCTCCTGAGCAGCTGCACAACCACACAGCTTTAAATTATAGAGGGCCTGCACACAAGTGCGACTTGGAATGAAAGAAGTAACGGATGCCACCCGGGGGAGCTGTTTCCCAGTTTGAAAGGCTTCCTGGAGTTGCTGAGGCTTGCAGAAGATCCACCCTAAACTCAAAGATTGGATTCCTCATTATGATTTCATGCCGCTGTACATCTAAACTAAGTCCAATATGCTGCTCCGTGTAAAACTGATGCAAGAGGAGAATTAGAACTTATGATGACAACACTGACAATCATCTCCGGGAAAATGACCTCCTCTAGTGCCCATTCTGATCTTAGTGGTTTTAGGATCCATTTCCATAGGGAAAGCATGTTTCTCTCCTGTTCCTGCTCCTGCTGCTCTCTTCTTACCATTTGCAAATGTTGTTGTCCATGCCAGGCACATACAAAGGGAGCATTAAATTGCCCCCAGCCATTTGGTACAATGGAAAATATGATCTGGGATTCAATTATTGAAAAAGGACTCATTTAATTTTTTTAAAGTATATTCTAATTCTGTTCTAGCCATTCAGGGTCTCCAAGAAAATGCCACCTTCATACAGCAGGTGGCGATCCACCACTAACAATGTTAAAAGAACTTGCTAGTGGCCAAACTAGGCAGAAATAAAAAACAAAAACAAAAAAAACCCAGACAGGTAGAAAGTACATTTCCTTCTCCTTGTCACAGCTGCCCACAATGGGCAACAATATATTGTAACAATATTTGTACAAAGCCATACCATTACAATCCGATCCCTACCACTGTCAAACAAACAAACAAACAAACAAACAAACAAACAAACAAACAAACAAAGGCAAGATTCACTGCTCTAGTTAGCAGCAAGTGTAGAATATTGTAAGAACATGAGGCTAGTGAATTCTTTCAAATAGTTAAAATACGTCCCTTCCACTGCTGGTGTCCTGTGAAGCCTAGCACTGGCACCCCTCTATAGGGGGAGCAACTGCTTTGTGGGTTGGAGGGCCTATTGGGGTTAAGGGGTTGCCAACTCTCCCAGATTGTATGGTCCGGACACTCTGACCACACTTCTGTCTCTGGAAGCTACCCCTGCTGGACAGAGCTGGTTCTCTCTTCTTTTGGCTTACAAGCTGGCTACTTCTATTGGCTCAGTCTCCTCGGGTAACCTTGTTTTGATTTGTTGTGTGATGAGAGTGCTGCTGCCTCTGCTGTAATCTCTAGGGTAACCACAACGAGTGGTAATTAGCACCCTTCAGTAGAAGACAAGCAGTGGATGGACATGGGAAATTACTGACCTTCTTCGGCCCCAACCACAAAGAAGTGATTGTTCAGTTCCAGGTCAAGGCACATGGTGAGGTGCGCTTGGGGTACCTTTGCCCATAATGAACTATATCCAGGAATGCTGGAACAATTTTCACTTGTGTGGGTACTGATGACGGAAATCATGTATTTGAGAAACTGAAAAAACAACAAATGGTCGGGTAGCACTTTAGAAGCTAACAAAACATGGAGATGGTATCATGAGCTTTCGTGGGCACAGCCCACTTCTTCAGATAACTGGAGTTCTGAGTTTAGGATGTCCAGACCCTGAAGCTTCTGATCATGTATTTGGTGTGTGTTATTACTGCTTCAAGTCTAGAGGTGCGGTAGTACCCCAGCATTCCTACTTCCAGCCTCAGATTGTATCAATTTGTTAGACCAGTGTTTCTCAAAGTATGGTCCGTGAAGCACTAGTGGTCCGTGACCGTCTGGCACGTGGGCCACGATCTCAGGGATCATCCACCCCTGCAGGGGGCAGCCTTCACTGGCACTCCAGCTCCATCTCTCTCTCCCGCCCCACAAGAGGTTGAAACACCAGTACCAAGTTCTCACTGTGAGGGGGAGGTGAGTCTCAACGAGTTGGATTGGGCTTGTGGGGGGAAAAAGTGGCTCCTCTTCCCACTGGCTGGAGAAACATCAGTGTAGGATACTACTTGCCTGTAGGTTTTCCTCGCTGCTCCCATTGATTAGAATTGTAGCCAATGGGAGCAGCAGGGAGTGGTGCTTGGAAGCAGCGGGAGATCTGGAGCGAGATAAGCGCCCTGCATCTTGCTCATACCCAGACCCCGCATTTCCCTCATAACCCCCCATTACACCAGGACCCTGCACCCTCGCCCCATTCCTGCACCTTCCCTCCCTCCAGACCTTGCATCCTCAGCCCACTCCTGCTCCTAACCTCCCCAGCTAGACCCTCCCACCCTACGTCCATTCTTGCACCCTATCTTCCAGTCAGACCCCACATCTGCATTCCCTCCTGCACCCATTTTGTCATCATGGGTGGTTGGCTGATGGTCCGTGGAAAGGGCTGCATTGAGCAGGATGGGCCCTGGGTTAAAAAGTTTAAGAACCACTGGTTTAGCTTATGACTGCCAATCTAACCCTTCTTCTGCATTCTAAATAAAGCTATTGCAAAGTGATGTCAAGAAGAGAAATTGATGTCTACACTACAAGCAAACTGGCTGCTTAGCCACCGAAGAGTGTGAACGAAACTTTTCACGCAGCTGGTGCATTATGTTATATTGTACATGGTGTGGGACCATTGTAAAATCTCATTAACATCAGCCAGGACTTAACAGGTAAAATACTTCAGCTGTTCCGTTGCCAACAAGCGAGAATCCTTAACAGCCTACACCTCTGGTTTTGGATAAGAAAAGATAACTGGCTTATTCTTATTGCCAGGTTTAAAAAAAAAAAGAGAGACTGGAGCTAAATATTTTGTATGCCTTAAAAATGTTACCTTTGAGATACCGGCCAAAGTCAGCTTTGATACAAGCAGCTCAGTTATTTTGAAGGAACGTGCTTAGATCAGGCCTGAATTTATCCCCATATACTACTAATGATAACTCAATCAATAGGCTAATCCTGCACCGTTTTTAAAGTGTGCCTTTTTAATTACAGAACTATTTTTTTTAGACAATAAACTTTTCACAGGAAAAGAGGAGAATCAGCCTGATGAAATATTGACTGTCTCAATTCATATTAGGCTCTCAAGCACCCCTCTGAATTGACTAATGGCCATGACACCAAA